AAAATGTGTATTGGAATCAAACATCAGTTTTAGTAGACGATTTGGAATCACAGGTTCTTAAGAATGAAAGGGGAGTACAGTAGGGATGCCTCTTTGGCTCGTCTTTTCTCTCTAAAAAAATTTAAAAAGCAAATGTCTATATTTTTTACCAAATGAGATCTCTACTAGTAGTGATACTTTGAAAACTTGACGTAAGTGAAACATTATAAACTTTAAATTAGTTATTTATATTATTTTTTTTATAGTAGCAAAGCTCTGAAGATGGCTTTGTAAGCCGAAAGCGCACAGCTAGGAAATAAATGTTTACACACTTCAAAAATGCTTTTTTTTTCATTCTTTGGTTTGTGTGTGCAAAAAAATATCAGTCTTTTCCTTTTTTGTAAGCTGAAATACCATCAAGAAGAGGAAATTTAAAAAATGGTCTGTTTACTAAATAAAACATATGAAACTATGTAAGTACTATAATAGACCGAAAAATTACAGGAAAACGAGATTGTCATGGAAGAAAAACATCATTGCTAAATGATTTATGTTAATGGTATGCAATTAAAAACAGATCACTATTCCAAGCAATAGTAGATAATGTTACTAACATTCAGAGGGCGGGAAGAACAAACATATGTTTTAGTAAAGCTCTTAACACTATTTACTTTTTTTTAATATATTTATTTTTGTATTTAATTGTTTTTACATTTATAGTTAATTTGTTTTAAATTGTTCCCGATAATTTTGCACATGCGTCATGCTATTACAAATAATCTGATGACGAGTACGTGTTAGTTTAATGCTTTGTTCTTATTTATTTGCTAATTTTTTATAATCTGGTCTCGCGGTTGATCACACTGTACAAAGTGTTCTAGTTACAGACCTAGAATATAAATCTATATATTTTATATTAATTTATAATATATATTATAATAGTTATAATATATATAAATATAGTTATAATATATATTATAATAATAGTAAAAATCTGATTAACTAATAAATTTGGTTTTCAAAGTTTTAGAACTGACTCGTGCTCTAATTTATCATGCTCGTCCAAGTCCAATCTAACTATGTTCATGGAAGTATCAAATCTTATCTTAACCAAAAAATATATTATATGGGTAATATTTTCTAGGGTGACATATGAAATCCATAATGTAAATCTTTTTAAAAGCATATAATTATACGATTCTTTAACATCTATGACCGAATTTCTACCCTGAAACAATATAGCTTTAACATGTAACGTTAAAATAGAAGATCTCAGTCTCTCGACTCAGTCTCAGTGTCTCAAATCCCAGACATTACTACACTCATCACTTATCAAAGCATATATATATATATATATATATATATATATATATATATATATATATATATATATATATATATACAGGGTGAGTCGCCACTAACGAGACGGAAGATTTTACTTTAATCTTTACAGCGAAACAGTATAAGATTTTTAGATGTTTAGGTATGTAACAGATGTTCAAATTGCTTGCCATCTTGTGCAATACAACAAGCGATTCTATCTTCGAATGATTTATTTACATTATTTAAACATAGCAGGAGTTATTGAAGCAGACGCGTTTTTAATTCTTAATTTCATGCCATCTCTAGTAGTAGGAGGTGTAGCATATACAATATTTTTAATATAACCCCATTTAAAAAAATCTATCTTGGTTAGTCCTGGTGACCTAGGGGGCCAATTATAGGAACCACCTCTACCTATCCATCTGTTTGTAAATTTTCTGTTAAGGTAGTTCCTAACATCATGTGCGAAATGAGCAGGAGCTCCATCCAACTGGAGCCACATTTTTGTTCGTAGGCTAAGTAAAAGGTTCTCAAGCAGTGTCCAAAAATCTTGTTTTAAAAAAATTAAGAAATTTGTCCCATTGAGCTGTCTGTCAAAAAAATACGGGCCGATAACGTACTCGACCATAATGACGTCTCAAGCATTAACACCCCATCGGTGTTGGCGATCAACAGTACGAAATAAATGTTTATTTTCTGTGCCATACTAATGAAAATTATGTCTATTTACTAGACCATTATTATGAAAAGTCGATTAGTCTGTAAATAATACATTTAAAAAATAATCAGGATCTTCTTCAACGTTATCTAAAGTCCATAAACAAATATTTAAACAGTTACCATAATCTTGTTCTGTCAAATGCTGGTGAAGTTGAATGTGATACGGATGAAAGTGGTTGGTCTTAAGTATTCTACATACACTAGTTTGACTAATTTCTAATTCACCAGAAATTTGTTTTGTACTAATATTTCGGTTTTCCGTAACTGAAAGCAGGACATTAAGTTCGTTGACGTTGTCACCAATAACTGGTTTCTTTTTATTTATCTTTTCGTATGCAACATTACCAGTAACACGGAATCTATTAAGCAATCTATCAAAAACTTCCTTTTGTGGGTGTCTTCTCTCAGCATACTTTTGAGCATAAACTTTAGAAGCTAAGAGACAATTTTCCAAACATTCTTCAATGCAAAGTACCATGTCGACTTTTTCATGGATAACGTAATTCTTCATCTTTATTAACAGTAAAATTTAAATATTATACACGAATGTTTATATTTTGACAATTACCAGACCGTAGGCGTATTGTCAGAAAATGACAATGTCGTACAATGACATTAACTAACTATATCTTTTGTTTTAAATTCAATATGCCGATGAAGAGTTTAAAATAATTGTAAATTACTCAAAAACTATGAGACTTGAGGATATGACATTTTTATACCATTCAAAAGAGGAAACTTTTTTAGTATTACGATTAATTAATATCCACGATGTTCCATTTAAACTAAGCCTCATATTAGATATTGAATAATCCAAAATTGAAACTAAGTTTTTAACACCCTGTAAATAAATGTTTAATAATCAATAATGGAATAAATTTAACCATTACCCAACTATTTCGCTGTAAGAGGAAATTTGTTATAATTGCTTAAATAAGTCGAGAATGAGTCTTCTTTAAATTTTGTTTTTTTTTTGCTTATAATGTAGTAAGTTGCGGTTTATTTTGTATTATTTATATTCATTTTGTATTATTTTGTATTCTTTGTTTTATCAAAATTCTTTCTGATTAGTTGTGTATTAGCAAGTAAAAGTATAAAGTATACACATTTGTTTACAACTACATTGGTTTCATTTATAAAAAATATGTCAAAATGATGGGTTTAAAAATCGAGAGTAACAACTATAAATATTTTGAAATCGAAAAGAAAATTTTAAATTACGCAAAATCTATGACTCCCAGTTATAGGATATCAATATACCATTCGAAAGTGGAAAATTTTTTAAATATAAATTTTTATTAATATACATGGTGTTCCACTTAAAATAAGCCTTATATTACACATTGAATAAGTCAATAATAAAACTGCAAATTTTGAACACCCTGTAAAAAAATGTTTAATAATTAATCATGAAATACATTCAACCAATATCTAACTATTTAGAGCTATAACCAATTTTATTAGAATTTCTTAAATAAGTTAGGAATGAGCCTTCGTTTAAAGCTTTACATTTTAAGAATATTCCACATAACTCAGAAAACTCTGTACATAGACCTAGGTTAGTTTTATGAAACTATACCTTACTTTTTGCCGACAATTAGAAAATGCAATAAAATATAGGGTGTCCCATAAGAACAAATATAACTTTGATACGCCGCACTTTATTGGGACGCCCTGTATATTTCAAAATAATTTTAAAATGTAGATCTTATCAATCTTCAAACTATAAATTTAATTTTTTTTAAATCTTTTACCGTTTCGCTATAATCTTCCGTTTCGTTATTGGCGACTCACCCTGTATATTATATATATACATATATACATATATATATATATATATATATATATATATATATATATATATATATTATATATATATATATATATATATATATATATATAGTGGTGATTCTTGAGGATGCAGTCAGTTTATTTGGCCCACAAGACAAAGAAAACTCTTTGACTTACTGTCAAGCTTTCGAATTTAATTTAATTCTTTTTCAAGACATCTGTTCACAAAGAAATATAAAAATTAACTAGTTAAAATTTTTAATTGTTTTACTTAGTAGTCGTGAGATTACAGTTAATATTGTACTATATAAAACAAACCATAACAATTATATTAATTTTTTTTTAAATAACTATTGTTAATTTAAACATTTCAATTATATCAATTTTAACTAGTTAATTTTTATATTTCTTTGTTAACAGATGTCTTGAAAAAGAATTAAATTAAATTCGAAAGCTTGACAGTAAGTCACAGAGTTTTCTTTGTCTTGTGGACCAAATAGACTGACTGCATCCTCAAGAATCACCACTTGATATTTAAATCAACAGTCAAGAATACCACCATTATGAACAAATTTTTAAAAATTTGTTTAACCGTTTAACCATAATAGACCATCGCGTCGACAGCGAATCACCATGTCGTAATGTCCAAAAATGTCTCCATTGCGTGATTCTAAATATAGGCCGGACTTTTTTGTTATTCTTTGTTAGGGCACCAAATTAATATTGTTCATTGTGCTTGTATAATATTTGTACGTATGAAAATGAAATCATTTAAAGAGTTCCAGAATAAAATCGTATAATTATTACTCATAATCAGAATCAGTGACGTAGCCTGAAAATTATTTCAGGGGTTTGGACTCGTTTAAGTTTACATTTCCCCACATCTTTACAATAATCTTCAGAAAAATCAAAATATTTGTTAAATTTAAAATAAAATTGTTCAATTTAATATTTTAATACTTAATATTTAATTGAATATTAATATTTTAAAATCATCAATATTTGATAAAATTTCGGGAGTGTCCGGACCACCTAGACACCACCCTGGCTACGTCACTGATCACAATAAGTTCAATATATTAATTATTTGTACTACATTTATGCATTTTATGTGTCAAAAAAAATCGAATATAATAAACGAATTGAAAATTGTATATTGATGCTAAAATTTGTCTTTCTATTTTTAGGAAAGGGCAACACTATTATATCTACGTTACGCTGCTAGATGGGGTAGGGACAGAGCTCGAGGTTTGTTAAATAGTCCTCCCGCGTCAGGCGGACGTCATTGCCCTTCTCAAACGTGCCCATGTCAATTCATAGAGGAGCATTTGCTTTGTAAACCTCCAGGCAAGTTGACTATTAAGTCCTTTTTTTCGCTTCCGGATCAGGTGCCGAGGGAGAGATCTCGGATTCAGTGATAACGCTTTGGGATTTAAGCATCTTATGTGATACACTATGCTTTTTAAAATTTGCCTTACACTAGTTTTGGAGGTGTGGATAATATATCACATTTGAACTAAAATTTGCGTCTCAAAACGATTATTAATTGTATTATAAAAATTTTATCACTCTGCAAATGTGTCACATATGATATTTAAAGATAATTTAAATACAAAAAAGTTTTAGCAATATCCATGAATATGGTTTTTAATATATTTTATGAAATATATATATATATATATATATATATATATATATATATATAAATATATATAATATATATATATATAAAGATCTGCTTTTACTTGCATTTTTTTCGGTTTATAAATATTCTTATAGGTAAGACACGTTTGAAATATAAATGCTTGGTATTGAAAGTATTAACATTCGAATATATGGACAAAAGATAACAACGAATATTTGAATATTTCTTCTCTACTTCTATTAGAGACTATGATATCCGACATGTCTGATTTCGTTAAGATAATACTCATACTAGATTTAAATTGTTGCTTCTTTTTTATTCTCTGACCAATGGTTTATCTTAAAATATTTGTTCATATACACGTTTAACCTCCAATATTTGATTGGTGTGGTTTGTTGTTCTTTTTTTGTGTATGAATATAAATGTGGATTTAGTAGCATTATCAGCATGTTTTGGCTCTGCAACTTATACACATATGATTGTGAGTCTTGGCCTGTTCAAGTTTCTCTATTATTTACATGATTCTGCAATGTTGCACTCCATATTCTTAGATTTTCTTCCATTTGGTCTTAAAATCTTGCACTGGGTCTATATGTCAGTCTACTTCCATCAACCCTTGGGTTATATAGGTGTTTTATAAGTTTCGTCTGATGCATTCTCTGTACATGGCGTAGTGGTTTTATGTCGAGGAATCATATAATGTCATGTTTACTGTAAAAGAGGCACCCTTAAACTTTTAGCACCTGCGACGTGTTCCGTTCTCCTGCACGTGGTTGGATATAAGTATTTGAGGTTAAAACGGACTTCGTCGTTTTTTGTCATTATCCACTATTCTGACACGTAGGTGAAGAAGAGTTGAATAATAATTTTATACATTAGTAATTTCATTCTTTTTGTGTCTATCGTTTTAATAGTTTTTGTCTAAAATAGGCTCTATTTGTTGGTATATTATTTTTCTTTATTTCTGCATTTTGTATATTGTTCCAGTTAATTTGTAATTTGATCACCTAGATATCTGAACTCTTTTTCACATTCAAATATATATGTTCCGATCACTAAATCGCGAGGGGTCTGGACTTGCAGGTCATTTGTAATTTTCATTTACTGTGTTTTACTTATATTATTATGTAGTCCCATTCATTTTGTTGCTGCTGCCAACGCTATGAAAGCTTGAATTAGGTTAGTTTTTCTTCTTGCTGTGTTGTCGATGTCATTGCCGTATGCTAGTATTAGTACATTTTCATTAATGATGGTACTCATTGTTATTAGTCCCGATTCGCTTATAGCTTTTTTCTTGGAATATGAATAGGAAATAAATGAATAGGAATGTGACAAGCTATCTACTTGTTGTAATTCTCTCTTTGCCTAAAGGTTCTTGACATTATATTCGACACTTGCTTTCACTAATTTTGTTAAGCGTTCTGGAACATTTGATTGGTAGTTCATTTTTCTATATTGCAATACACTTTCTTACAAGTGTCCTCAGCAGCATGTTTAAAAACAGTACACATTACATAAAGATTGGTATATTAATGTGACACATAATTAATCATTTTTACAACGAAAATCATTATTAACAACTAACGTAACATATCAGAAAAAATATAGCGTGGTTGCAACGATTTAGCATATCTAATTTAAAAAGTAAACATATCGAATATAGATTTTTCTGATATTTATACCTACTAATGTTTCTTCGCACAACAAATTCTCAACTGTAAACAAAAGCTCATAAAAATTAGTGTATCACTGCGAAACCGTGGCTTTTTTTGTTAATAACCGTACTAACACAAATGTTATAGACATCTGCTTCAGGTTTCTAATTTGTTTCGGCTATTGGCAATAATCAATTTAATGCCGATTTTGTTTTTTTTTTTCACTGAGAAATAGTTCGGTTATTCTTGTTCTAAACCACCTGCACAAGTTAGCAAGTCAGGAGATTCTTTTTCCTGCACCTCGTTTCTCATACGATGCTCAAGGTTATTTCTATTAACGACATTTCTACAATTTTCTGTTGCATTACAACTGATAACAATTATTTTTTACTTGAGTATCCTTATATTTAACGTTGTTTATATAACCATAAAATTAATGCTACTTTTTTGCATACAACTGTACGTAATTATTCTACTAGTCTTAGCAAACAGTACAGAAGTTCCAGAAGTAAATCAAATATCGACTCAAAATAATTTTCAAAAAGATCAGTTATCATCTCATGGTTCTAATCTTTAGTTATTTTAAATTATGACTTATTAATTCAGAATTGACAAATCTGTTTTTTTTTCAGTATGGGTTCTGATATTTTTTTCTTATTCAATGAAAATATTCAAGACATAAGATAATTCTTCAATGGAGGTCTCACCCACAATTTTGATACAATATTACCTTCATTTAGCCAAATCACATTAAAAAATAGTTATTCCTTCTAGTCCAGTCATTTGGTGGTTTTACCTGGAAAGTTTTAAGACAATTTTGAAAATTAGTAAGTTTATAGATTTCGTTATGCTATTTGCAAATTTCAACTTTGCCACCTCGCATCTTCTCCGCTTGCGCCGCCATATGGGAAGAATGGCGCCTAATAACAGTTTCTTTACAATATCTTCTTGCCGACACATTTCAAGAGAAAACCATTTATATGCAAAATTAAACTAGAGGCAATTTTTTTTGTAAATTTTACAGATTTTGGCGTACGAACGTCGCAAAATACATTTTAATATGCGTCTTGAAAAAAAAATCATTTCGTCACCACCTGGAGGTACAGTAACAGGCGTGTTTTTTTATCGTGGTGTCCCCTGTAGGTCTAATCTACAGGTACTGCACATTTTCGAAATTTAGCACAATTTTCTGATGGATCAGGCGTGCGAGTTCGTCTTGGGCACCGATCGAGATATTGCAGACCGAAATTTTTCGAAATCGAAAATGAAGAGAGGAAAAGCCTCTTCATTTTCGATTTCATCAAACGTTTGCTCGAAAATAATCGCCGTTTCTTCGTCATCATCGTAATCATAGGGAATTTGCGAATTATTACAATTTGTACATATAACCAAGCATTTTAACCCAGCTTTTCTGCATCCACGTGCTTTCTGATATCCATTTTTCATTTACAAAAAAAAATCATATCACAACAAGGATTCTGGAGCTGGGAGCTAGAGTGTTGTTGTAACAGGAATTAGTCCACTTTTGTTTCCATTCAATCTCCATTGCTTTACATTTTGTTCATTCTCGTACCACAGCTGAACGTGGTGATAGGTTCGGAATTAATGTTGTCGTGCTGCTGCTTCTGGTGGTGGTAGCAACGTGATTTTGTGAAGCATGCGTCTATACTCGTTTAAAGACATACTTTTCTTACTTTTATGATCACTGTAACCGTATAATTCAAGAAGGAAACATCCTCCTACTTTAGCAATGCTTTCAATTAAATACCTCCATAACGTCGTTTAAATTAGGATTTTTTCGGAGTATGTTCAGGTTATCTGTCGAATACGATTATGGTATTGAATTTATATTTCTATCGAACGTAAGTGATATCATTATTGCAAATAGAGGAAAATTGTTCATCGCAATGTCAAATGATCTCCATCACCGTCGATGACATACATTGTATCGATGGTATCCAGAATGTTGATTCCATTATGGCTTTTCAATAACGAAGACATGCGTAAGTGCGTTAAGTCTTCTAGGGCATTTAAGCAACATTCTGGAGACATACATTTTGGGGAGACAATGGCATCTGTGACAATAGAATATTTAAGAGAAATATACGAAAGAAACATGCTGGGATAGATAATATTTTGTGTGTATCTGAATTTTTTTCTCATAAAATGCGTCGAAAAGCAGATATTGCAAAAAACTGTTATTAGGCGTCATTTTCCAATATAACGGCGCGCGCGAGCGGCGGAGATAGGAGGTGGCAAAGTTGAAATTCAGAAAGATTACACCAAAATCTGCAGAATTACTAATTTTCGAAACTATAAGAGAACTTTCCAGGTAAGTTCCATTAATTTAACCAAATGACTGAGCTTTTCCCAGTATCTTCTAATTAATTGTCTTCTCATAATCTCATTTTCAATGCTTTCTTGTTTTTCCTAGCGAAATCCAATAAATTTATGGAGCTAATTTAATAGATACAAATAAACAAAAGTAATAATTTGTTTTTACGTATTTGTGAAAGTTCGTCAACTTGCTTTATCTTATCAGACGCATAGGATTACGTATATTACGTATGTAGGTTCTTTCAGGTATCATATTACTTTTTATGCTGCTTCTCCCTCTGTCTCTTATTTGGGTTGCATGTGCTGTATTGTCGAAATTTATATTTAATAATTTCTCCGATAATGAGGAAGGTGACTCTCTATTTTTTTAGGATATTTAGACACTCTTTCTTTAAAGTTCCGTCTTCCATAGAAAGTTGTATCAACATGGCAATTTTTACGTATGACGGTACTAAAAAATTGCATGGAGTTCAAGTTAAACAATTCTCTCAGATTTCGCAACCAAGAGGTTAGCTTTCTTTCTCTATCTCTTTTACCTTTCATAATTAACTGTCTGTATCTTGATAACCTCATGACATGTCCAAAATATTTAAGTTTTGGTGTTTTAACAGTTTGAAAGACTTTCCCATTTTTATTATCTCTGCGTAGGACCTCAATGTTGGTATTCCTGTCTATCCACAATGTTCAAACGGCATATAACTGATATAACT